GTAGAGAGAGAGAGAGAGAGAGAGAGAGAGAGAGAGAGAGAGAGAGAGAGAGAGAGAGAGAGAGAAAGTTGAGTTTTATAAGTATGTGAACTGGTTTTTGCAGTTGTGTCTTTGAGTTTGCCAAAATGTTCTTAAAACAAAATAGTCTTGGTGATACTGATTATGGTACCTCTCCTATTGTTATAACTTATAATAGTGGACAAACTGACGTCATTGAGAGGGAATACAGAACGCAATTTGTACGGAATTGCTCACCACAAATGGTGATTACAGCTACCTATCCGTTTATGACTGAAACCACTCGCAATGAAAAATTGGAGTGCACAGATCCACGCCAAGCTGTTGCTAACCACGAGGCTCTTCCATGGCAACAGCTTTCTAAGCAAGCGTAGCTTTGAGCCTATATACAAGCCAGAAATATCTAACAGCACAATGCAGCAACCACTTCAATTTCTAGTTTTATGATACACATGCTATTGTTACCCTATAGATTCGGTAGTAAGGTCGACCGAACCCGAAGTATTTCTGACTAGACGATTCTCGACCACCGGAGACTTTTAATTTCTTCTTCCCTGTCACAGGAAGAAGGAAACAGCAACGAGGATTTAATTATCTGGCACCCTTCCTCTGAAAATTGACGCGGCTTTATTTTATCGAGAAAAGCCAATTTTGATGGAGCGCATTTGCATACACTGGTTGGCCGTATCGACTTTGCTCGGCGGGTATGACGTCTGAAATCCAAGTTCCAGCCACGAAAGGAAAAGAGAAGAAACGGCATCAATAACTCTGACTGCTTTTCCAGAACAACTACAATCGTCCACTGGAGCTTGGGGAATCCGGACATTAAGAAACGTTCCGAACGGCTGGAAGGACTATTGCTTTCCATTCATCTGGATGCCCTCTTGCTTAAAGGTCAAGAAAACTATGCTCGGAGTTAACAGCGTCAGTCGCCAGTCAGTGTTGTGCTTCAAAACTGGACTGGTTCCCTCAACATCTTAAAAAATCGTTTTACTTTCAAGTTTCAAAGTGTTTCTTTCGCCCATCATTGATATGTGGAAATGACATGGAATTTTGTTGAGTCAGGCTACGCTATGCCTTGTCTACGTGACTATCCCTTGGAGTCAGGGTCGTGCTACCCATCAGAGAACTGCCCGAGTCTAGGGAACTATCCCTATGCTTCAAACCCTGACAGCTTGGATCACAACAACAGGCATCATGTATCGTTTTCTTACTATTCAACTAATCCCAGTAGTTCGGACAATTTGACCTATTTTTCATATCCTCAATATCAGCAGCCGACTTATAGAGACAGTCCCTACGTTTGGATCGGTCCCAATAACTTTGACATTCCCTACGGGTCAACTCAAGGTCAGAAGCAGCTCGAAGAAGGACCAGTGACGTCACGACCGTCGCAGAGAAGACATGCCACAGGTGAGCGAAGTGACCGCTCGAGCAGAAAACGCCGCGCCCCGACCCTGGCCCAGCGGAGGGCTGCCAACATCAGAGAACGTCGCAGGATGTACAATCTGAACGAGGCCTTTGACTGTCTCCGCCAAAGGATTCCGACTTTCGCCTACGAGAAACGGCTGTCTCGTATTGAAACCTTACGACTTGCAATATCTTACATCTCTTTCATGACCGGAATCGTCAACGGTGAAGACCCTAACACACTTAGGGTCAGTGTGTATGACCCTCCATCGTTTCCCTCTTCTTCTGAAAGCATTCGGGCAGTGAGAGAAAGAGGAGAAGATCCTGAGGACAGTGTCGAAGGTGGAACAGATGTTTGTGAAGAGCTAAATGAACACGAGGGAGAGTTTTGTGGGGAGGAAGAAGAAGAAGAGGAGGAAGATGAAGATGAGGTTGACGATGACATCGATGACGAAATGAATGATGGTGATAAAGACGAGACTGGGAACAGTGATACCAAACTCTCAAATGGACATGGAGTATGCTCAGATTACGAACACTTTGGGCTTGGAACTGAACAAGGACAAGGATTTTACACTGAGCAGCTTCCCTGTGGGTGAGCCTTCGTCGGTTTTCAAGATGAAGGTTGTTGAACTAAGTGTGTATATCGACACACAATGGAAAATCATATTCATCAAAATCCACAAACAGCTCTCCGCGTAACATCAGTGGCGGTGGTGGGAGCATACATAATTCTATAATAGATGAAGGATTTTATGGAGGTTTCTGCCTGCTATGGCTGTGTAACGCCACTTATGTATTAATAAAGTGGAGATGTGTTTTATTGAGTGTTTTCACGGGCAAAGCATTAACTAATATGTTATGGCGTATAGCTCTGGTGTATATGAATTCTTTCATGAGGAAAGAGAATGAGATGATCTATCGTCTTTCTGGTCTTTAGTATTATTTTTGAGTGCAGCAATAGAATCAAATACAACGTAAGTATTAAACTTTACTTTATCCAAAACTCTTTGACTTCGACCAATAATTTATATTTGTTTATATATATATATATACCCCCCCCCCTTTTTCTCTTCCCTTCGATGACTTTGTTCTACGGTTTCTCTTCTGTTTGTTGTTATATAGTTCTTGTTATATAGTTCTTGTTATATAGTTCTTGTTTATGCTGGCACTCTTGCTGCTTTCATAGTTGTAGTTGTTGCTCTTTTTTCTTTTAGTTCTCTCCTTGTTCTTGTTGTTGGTTTCACTTTCTTGTACATGGAGTTGGTGCTGCTGCTGCTGCTGATGATGATGATGATAATGATGATGATGATGATGATGATGATGATGATGATGATGATGATGATGATGATGGTGATGATTTTATAGGGGTCCTTTAGGGGGCCGGTGTATAATCTTTCGTCAGTACTGATTATACAGATGATATACTGTGACAGAATATTGATAGTCTTTCAAAGTGTTTTTACTGGCCTAAAAACGATGGGTTGTGGTAGTGATAACCTATATGACTTGAAATTCACATGGTTATTGTAGGTTTTATCCTCTTGCTTATATAAGAGTTTGACTTTTACGGCAGATTGTTGCTGTTGTTGTTGTTGTTGTTGCTGTTGTTGTTTTGTTGTTGTTGTCGTTGTTGTTGTTGTTGTTGTTGTTGTTGTTGTTGTTGTTGTTGCTGTTGTTGTTGTTGTTGTTGTTGTTGTTGTTGTTGTTGTTCTTCTTCTTCTTCTTCTTCTTCTTCTTCTTCTTCTTCTTCTTCTTCTTCTTCTGCTTCTCTCTCTCAGTCTCTTTCTCTTTCTCTCTCCCTGGTATCTGGGAATGGCTCGTTCAGTTGAATACACGAAATTGTTAGTATCAAAGGCTAGCTCTTCCAGGGTTAAGAGGGCACACTTCTAAACATAATTAAATACAAGTTGTCCCCTCATCAATCCTCCCCTCCCTTTCTCAAATCTTTTCCTAATTGTTTTTCCCTTTAGACACAATTTCGATGGCGGGGGTAACTCTTGTTTCGTCGTTGACGAAATTTTAATTTGTTTCTTCACGCAGAATGCCAATATTTTCTGACGAAATGAATTATATTGAAATGAAGTGAAATGCCTATGCCTTTTTCATATGATACAGAAAGAAAAAGAGGGAGGAAGGAAAAAAAACGTAGGAATTAATTTTTGCCTTTCACAGCTCCTCTTGTGGGGTATGCGTCTGCATTAGATCATAAAAAGAGCAATGGCTTTAAAAGAGCCGGCAGTACACTGCCACCTTAGTTTATACCATGGTAGACCGCGGGGCTATTTATTCTGATTACAAATACCCCCCCCCCCCCAAATTTTTAAAAAATAGTTTGAACTGTCTAGGATGTTATCATGGTTCCTCTTTCATCACTGAGTTTGTTTCCTCTGGAGATTGACGTTAAAATCAAAGGTTCTGCCTCTCGAAAAACTCACTTTTTTTTAAAAAAGGGGGTACAAACCCACGCTCAAGAACGTCAGGTACGAACCAGCTGGGCGAGTACGACGTACAATAATAACTAACTATAAAATGGCCTACCTCTCTTATATCGGTATATATTTTGCCTCTTTGTTTTGACTCTTGAGCGCGTTTTAACTGTTACAAATATTTGTTTACGATTTTTGAGTCCACTGAAAGTTGCATGCGACTTTTCATATTCACCATTTGTTTATATAATATTATTATCACATTTGCCTGTGAAACATACTATGGCCTCTACATGGTGCCATGATACAAAAACACAGACATGTAGGCCGCAAACTCTGAAGTGTGCTTCGAAGACTACGATATGCTTAGTCAAGAGAACAATTATTTCAATATACCCCTTAGCATAACTAAAGAACAATAACTGATCCACTTAAAATCAAGGTGAGCAAGAACGTTTGCTGAAAACTATTTGAATGCACAATGGTGAAATGGATACTAGTAGAAACTCCATGCTATTTTGTTCCTAATTTTGTTCATTGTTAGGAGGTCAAGTATCTAACCTATCCGTTACCCCTGGGATCATTTTGTACCCCCGGAGTTGTGTTCTTCACATTTTAGAATACTTCTAGAACGAAGATCTCTTTGAAACTTTCAGTATTTCTCCAAAAATTATTTTGACAGACTGCTATGTATGTATGTATAGTATAAGGTTTTACGAGACTGCTATGCAAAGTTTAATGGGTAAATTTCCTCTTTGGAAAGTGGTGGCACAGAGTTTCCCGCGTCGTATGGATACGATAGTAAAACACGACGTACGGGTAGGGCTACGAATTACGGTGGCATGACGGTCATGAAACTTATTATTTTTTAAAATTTTGGTTTGGTTTTGTTGTGAAATACACGAACAAGCCTTTGGACACCCTTTCTAGCCCTAGTGGATGGGAGGACGCTCAAGCTGGAAACTCACCACAGCGTCAGTTAAGAGACTAAGACGTTATCCCTCAACAATGTTACAGTTGTGTTTCCAAAAAAAAAGCTGAATTAATAAACTGTTCACTTTTTCGTTTAATTAACTAAATTAAAAGTCCATTAAAAACTCGATGACGACATCGTCATTATTGCTCGTCTAATACAATGTGGGAAGAGTGATGCACCTTGCATATAAAATATGGACGACACATATTGCTTTAAATAAAACGTATATTTAGGAAACAAACAAACAAAACACGTTTTTGTTGACGCGACATTCTATAAAACTTGCATTGGTTGCCGAGGACTTTTTTTCTTGCATGTAAGATATTTGGTTTTCCCCAGAAATGCCATACCATAAACACAAAGATATACATATACCAACTACAGCATATACTGCTTTAATTAAACTTGAATTAAAGCGAGTGGGGGGGGGGGGGTATATCCCAGTTTTGCAGCTGAGGTTAGGGTCAAAAGTCACAAAACAGAAACTATCAGTCTAAGAATATGAAAATTAAAACCCTTTCCTGAGAATCGAATTTCAACAATAACGGTCAGAATCGATACCGGTTTTTTTCATTTAATCAACTGCTGCTGAAGGACAGTTCTGACTGATGCATACGAAAGAATGAGCCATTTAAAAGGTAAATGTTTACTCGCTAAAAGTTTCTCCCTTATTAGCATGTTTCAAAAATCAGAATCGTTTTGTCCTTGTTGCTGTTCCATTATAATTTTGTTGGATATGAACTTTTCGACTTGGACGAAGTCGTATCGTGTGAGCATCTTTTCAAAAACCAGCTTTCAAATATTGTTTGATTATGGTAATTTTTAAAAAAGAACAAGAAGAAAAGAAATTAATTGCGCTTGAAATGAATTAGCTGAAAAGCAAAAAAGACTGACAAAGAGGTGTGCCAGATTCTCCAGTCAAGAAAATCTCAGCTTAAAAAAGTGAAAAGGAAAATATACAATACTGTGGTCAAATAAAACGCTACTAGACCATTGTGAAAGAAATGTTTGATGGCAAGATCTGGGGAAAGAGGGCTTGTGGTGGACAAAGAACAACGTGTGCGGACAACATCAAGACGTGGACTGGCCTAAGTATGGCAGAATGTAAAACGGCAGCTGGCGACTGTGAGTACTGGAGAGTCATTACACGTCAACCTCTGAGCCAGAGATGAAACCTTCCGTCTTCCAATTCCAGACTCCAGATCCTCAAAACAGCCTTCTGGGAGAAATCGTTGCGCGTCATGTAGCCCGATACACTTTGTTCAAGAACTGTCGCAAACACATTAGTGTCAGAGTCTTGCTGAAACATCACCAAAAACTGCCCACAACACATTAATGTCAGACTCTAGTTGAGATTCGGATATGGGCTGGATAAGTCGAGATATTCCCCTGGAGAATTTGAAAGCACATTGGCCGTACCGGGGTAGAGGTTCGCATCAATGTGGCTAATGAGGTACATTTTTCTCTGATAGCATCAGTGCTTGGGACGATCTTACTTTACGTTTCATATGCTGTGGAAACAGCAGAGTATGTTCTTGACGTCGTCTGAATTAGCCACGTCCTCGTTAGGCTACAGTTTATCGTAACTCTGATAATAAATCAAAGTCTTAATAGCTAAAGAGTGATGGGCGACATGATATTCTATTTATTTTGAAAGCATTTTGGTAACCAATATGTTTACTTTGTGATTTGAGGTAGGCTGATTACAAATCATGAAAACATTGTTTTCTATAAGTAAGGATTTTTAGTCATTGATTCATGTGTTTGTTTTAATAACGTTTTAATATATATATA